CATTTGAAACGTACAATATTTATCGATTCGCAGGATAACCAAAATTATCGCTGAAAAAAATTATTGGCTCCTTTCATGCAGCATGGGTGACCATCGAGGAAACATGAATGAAAGGGCCAAAAAATAATTATTATTAGTTTCAAATGCCTCTCGATATTATAAAAATCCAAATCGACTTCTGGTGATAAAAATTTGGTACTTGAAACTAAAACTTCAAAATTAAGGGTCACAAGGGTCGAAATAAGGGTTGTAAGGGTCAGAATAAGGGTCACGAGTGTCACAAGGGTTAGGCTCACCAGGGTTTCAAATGTTTAATAAATTTTTGATAAAAGTAATAAATACATCATTCATGAAGGAAAACATTTCTCAATGTGGGCCACTAAAAACTCCTTCAATTTGGGGACACAAATGTCTCAAAAGTATGACAAAAATAAAGCTAATCTCATCGCTACTATTCCAGTTAATGAACCGTTGATGATCCAGAACCATTAATCACCCTGAGTGCTATCATTGAGAGAAGAAAATGGATCGAGTGGAGAATCAAATCCGCGAAGGATTGAACCCTCGCGGTAATGCCACACAATGTTTTTGCCCATAAGGATTCACCACCAGTCAATCTCAACACTAAACAATGCGGTTGTTCAGGAGACCACTGATGTCCATTTCCATCGTGTACAATGTTACATATGTTACACGTAACGCAAGCCAAATAGCGCTGGACCGTACACACAGAGGGAAAAGAGAGGGCGTGCAAGTGGTGGGTGGATGGGTGGGGCAGAATGAGATGGAGGGAGGAGAAAAACCACAGGTCCATAAAGACTGATTTACGTACCAGAATTTATGAAGACCGGTTGGTTTTCTGGTCAGTACTTCATCACAACTCTTTGTTCAATTTCAGCGTTTTTTACGGTCTTTCTATTTATCCAGGGAAATTCTTTGGTACCAGTCCCTCCCTGTGCTGCAACAACTGACGAAATGCTTTTTGTTATTTGTTCATGAGGTACGTTTTTGTCATTTATTCCAAAGGGATTTATATCTGTTTTTGTTTCTGTCGTTTATTTCCTCGTTTTTTCCAGGCGTTTTTTTTTATTCCTCTCTTTTCGACGAATTTGTTTTTTCAGAGGCATTAAGTGTAATTCCTGTCACAATGAAGCTGTAAAAATCCGTTGATCCCCCGGGGATTAACGAGGATTTCGAGGTGTCGGGGTGACGAAAGAAACACCTGGAGATTTTAAACGATGGGAATTAAAAAAATATTTTTTCGTTGTGTTTCGTTTCGGGAAAGTTTGCAGCTGGAGTTTATCAGGGGTGGATGATTTTTTTTTGGGTGGTTTGATTGTTTAGTCGGGGGGTTAGGTAGTCAAAAGAGTTTGCTGGAGAATGATATATTTAAGTTGTCAATTCGATATGTCATTTCAATTATTTGATGCGAGCGATTTATTTGATGGGTTCAAGTGGTATACAGCGTTTGATGACCGATGATGTTTATTCTATGATTTTTATTCCATGAAAATTGATTGAGATGATTTCACCCGTAATCTTCATGCTGTGACAATTTAATCCATTCAATTTGACCCTTACGATTTGATCCATGAGTTTCATTTTAAGAAATTGGATTGATCCATAAAGTTTGATCCACAGAATTTCACTTATGATTGACTGATTTAAGGCCTGGAAAGACTAATGTGATTGACCCATAGGATTTAACCCACGACATTTAACCCATGAAACTTAACCCATAATCTTCATCTCAATATTGGTTCCCCAGGATATGGGCAGATCAAATTTCGTCCATTCGATTTAAACCATGATCACAAAAATTGACCAATAGGATTGACTCCGAGAACTTGACCCATTCGATTTGACCCACGAAATAAGACCCATTCGACTGAAACTATTATCGTGCAATTTGATTGACCCATCCGCTTTGACCCACGACTGATTGATTTAATCCCTGAAAATTGACTTACACGATTGACCCACTAGATTTGGCCCTTGACCCACGACTTTAATCCCATATGAATCGACTCATCACGACAGCGTGATTTAACTTCAGCACGATGCAAATTTCATCGAAAAAAATTTTAAACAAATCTCTTAATTACTTGCCCTACTTCTGGAAAATGTCGTTGGATAAAGGAACTCAAAGTACTCGACAGTTGAGAACTAAAATTTTCCGTTTTGCAATGGTGTCGCCATTACCCAGTGAAGAGGCAAAAGTGGTAGCGCCCGAGCTTGGGTCAGCCCCCTAAGTGGAATGTATCAGGATTTAAGTAGTAGAGAAATACCGTGAAACTGAGGTCAGACCAGGCATCCCCCTTGTTTCACTCACTCCATTACGAGTGTAACTTACTTAACGGAAAATTGTGTTTCAGAGCTGGCGAGATTTCCACTGAAACAAAAGTAAGAATGGGAGAGAGGTTGAGTAATGGATGAGAATGGGGAATGAAACTCGGTGAAAAAACAAAGGGGTCACTGTTTCTCGTCATGGAACAAAAAATACCATATTTTCTTTTTAAATCCTCGTGATCTTTGGGGAGTTGGGGATGAGAAATTATTGCGGACTGTCTGTGTCGGTGGATTTCGTGTCGGATAGTAGATTATGCCCGCAAATTTATAGGTGACACATTATTTTTCATGATAAATTACTATTTTTTCATGCAATGTCTAAGTTTAATTATTTTTTTATATGTTGACATCAATTTTTTAGGTGAATCATTAAGAAAGAAATGCACTGCAAAAATGGGGGGATATAGATGGAAAAATATTCCTGAATGATGTTGATATTTTTTTGTCTGAAAAAACTGAGTTATTCATTTTCACATGTCAAAAATGTTAAAATTAAAGTTTTACGTTACCTATTTCCCAAATATCGACGAAACTATCAGGTATAAAGGAAAATGTCATAAAATATTTTTTATAGGTTATGAAATTCCCTACAAAAAAGATTTGTAGACAAAACCCTCTATCTTCTTTCTGAAGATCGCGGAATAAAAATATTGATAAAACTGTTTTGACTGAAAAAAGTCTTCCAATATTTAAAAAATTATTTTCTCCAGCCATGCCATGAAAAATCTCCACTAATCCGTAACGACATCAATTTCTCCCACAGGATGTGCAACACAACCCAAGAAAATCTCTTCGCATCCCTTTTTTCCAAGCACTGTATCATGAAAGCCTCATTTGCAGGTGTATTTCAAGCGTTTTTCCGCGGGCTTGTATTGCCGCTGGGCGTTGGTACCACACCGCAAAGCTGGTGTCTGGTCAGTTAGAATATATTCGAGGTGGTCAAAGGGACCGTGACAGCAAGAGAGAATGGAAAATGGTGGGGTGAATGGTACAACCCAGAGGGAGAGGGATTTTATGGAGGGAAAACCGGGATTTAACTTTCCGCCGGGAGTCCCGGAGCCTCAGTGTCGTGGTGGGGAATGAGAGGACTGGCCAGTTCAAGAGAAAAAGGGAGTGGAGGGTAGGGGCTATGGACAAAAACAGGGTGTCGAGACAGAGTGCTCAACTTGGACAAAGGAACGCCTAGACAAAAGCTTAATCTTCCGTTTTTTATTTTTTCACAATTTTTTTTTCTCAGCGATTTTTTTTCCAACGGGAGTTTAACTCTTGCCACCCATGTGCCAACACTTTTGTGCGGCGGAAAGTACGGGGGATATTTCGGGATTTATACGGCCTCAAATTGTCCGGGGGTCTGAAGGAGACTTTCCACGAGTCCGGGGGATGGCAATTGCGTCACATCATTTGACCTGAATTTAATTTTAAGCACACTGTTAGAAATTTCATGAAATTTTAGTCACAGCGTTATCTGAATTTTCGATGTTGTGAGGTTGAACCCGAGTCGAATAATTGAACCTGAAAAGTTCTACTTAAGTCTTTCCGCCTTCAGGTGTGTTGGGGTCCCTCCGAGGGTTTCTCATTAGCATTAGAATCGTCAGTAGATACAGAATCAACCTTCACTTGGTAAAATGATTCGATTTTGGCGAAAGTCGACTTTCCCCCTGAAAAACCCCAAGGTCTGATACTTTGGCCCCAGGTGAAAATTTTTTTTTTTCATTTTTTACTTTTTCCACATGCTTTTGAGAGTTTTGGATAGCCCGTCGCTTGAAACATCGGAATCAGTGTTCACCCGGTGAAAAAAATCGATTTTGGCGAAAGTCGACTTTCCCCCTGAAAAAATCCAAGATCTGACATTTTGGCCCCAGGTGAAAAAAAAATTTTTTCATTTTTTACTTTTTCCACATACTTTTGTGAGTTCTGGATAGCCCGTCGCTTAAAACATTGGAATCAGCATTTACCCGGTGAAAAAAATCGATTTTGGCGAAAGTCGACTTTCCCCCTGACAAAATCCATGATCTGACCCTTGACCGAGGTGAAAATGAAAATTTTTTTTTTCGTCTTTTCTGTCGCCTCCAAGGATTTCATTGGCGTCAGGGGGTTAATAAAAATATGTTTTTTCACTTGAAATTTCAAGAGCAACTTTCTAATAATGTACGTCCAATATACAAATTATCATCAGTGTGGTGTTTTTGTAATAATAATTTCAATGATTTATTGAGAGACATTGAAATGAACTCCATAAAAATTGAGAATTGGGACAAAATCAGGATTTTCGTTCCCTGTTCTTCACAATTTCGTAAGAGTGTCGCATGGGATAATTTTTCTTCTGGTGATTAGCACTGTATGCTGATTTTTTTCCATGCAGCTTACATCGCTGTGATGTATAGGTACAGCCGAGGGGGGACATTTTACTTTATAATGTGTTGAACAAGCCACCTTACGTATGTTAATGTGGGTTAATGCTCCCCGATATGTGAACACGCGAGTCACCTCGCTTCTTAGTTCATTGTGCTGAGGAATTTGCATACTCGGGGAAATGAGCATTACACGTCATCCATTTTGTTGTGTATTTCAAATGTTCATGTAAAGGGGTTTATTAACGTGAGATTGCAAGCGGCTTCAGCAAGCATACAAATGAAGGAACAAGAAACCGCTGACGAAAATGACTGTTTATTTTCAATTTCTTCGAGGTATCCAAGTATTCTTTACGGTTTGGTACGGACTAGACTATAGATTCAACCATTTTCAATCAGGTAAATGAATAGTTTACCCCGGTCACAGGAAAATCGCTGACATTTATTTTTCAAACCAATTTTTCAATAAATCACGTAAAAAATTTTTAATCAATATTCAAATACATTTTTCTTTCCTGTGACTCCATGGTCCGCCGATAACGCAGAACCCTAGTGTATCCTCATTGAAGTTAATAAACCGTTTAAGACGAATCATCATCAATCAAGTTTAGTCTACAATATCGAAGAGCTTCGTAAGAGTCTTCTGTGGCATGTCAATGTGCAAAACTATTGTGACTGTATCAGCAGGAGAGGATCGTGGTAGCAGCTCCACCGCTTCGTCCGCATATTCATACGTATGGCTCTCCTGCTTCAAACTCACACCGATCTTATCAAACTTCTTGCTTGCTAACTTCTCCCCAGATTTGAAGATCGCCAGCTCACCGTCAATCTGTCGATGCAAATGCGACAATCCTGGAGTATCTTTGGAGAGGTGAAGTCTTACGAAGAACTTAGCATCCATGCCGTCTCGCAAGCAAAATTTGACTCTCCAGTTTGAGTTTTTGTCGCCGGTTTGGAAGTTCGGAGAGTTGACGCAGCCTCCCTGCTGGTGGTTGAGGCGGGTATAATTTTTTATAGTCCATTCCAGATGAAGATGCTGTCTCCCAATGTCAGTGACAGCCTTCTGCCTGATGATATTGTTGAAATAGTTCCCTTCGGCAATATCATAGACGCCGACTGGACCGAGCTCAGGGACGAGCTCAGGGACGGGCTCAGGGACGGGCTCAGGGATGACTTCCATTGCAACCTCCTCTTGGCTTATCTCGATGACTTTTGATGAAGCATGCTGATGGTTCATTGACACCACAGCCAGAAGAAAAAGAGCGCGTAGGATTGATGATGACATGCTGCCAGTAACCTTGGTTGCTTATCACGATAGTTTCTCCTTCGGAAATCAAAATGGTTGGCATATGAGTGGTGATTTATGAAGAAATAGGAAATGGATTCTCCTGCTTAGACAATGGCCAGTTACATCCGGGTATTCTCGACGACTGCTTGATATTCGATACGTGGCTCAAGTTATCTTGCTGAGGATAAGTAGTAAATGGCAGTTGATGACTCACCTTCTCCGCTTGCTGAGATGACTTGGACTGCTTAGACGGTTATCTAGCGACACCGGCAGCAGGACTGGATGACTGCACTGGGCGCTCGCGATATATATCCTGATGGTCGTGCCACGTCAAGCCGTAAACACCCTCTGCTCCCACTCATCGCGGAAAACAACGAGGAATGTTCTAGATGAACTGAGCATTCCAAATCTTCTAGGGTGTCTTCCATTTCCTTGAGAGGCGTGATGCTGTGAAGTGGCAGATGTAAGGGAGTGAATCAACCCGAGAGGAGGAAGAGATTAAAATCACGAGAGAGATGTGCGCAAATTTAATTTGTCGTCTCGTGCTCGAGTGGAAACAGCTCAGTTAGCTGATACAGATCCGATGCTAGCCAAATTCTTGATTAAACTTTTGGATCGGGATTTGGTGAGATTCTGAGTGAAGTATCTGGATCCAACGCGGCAGAGTGAAGTCCGAGACTGTTCTGATCAGCCACATTCAGACGAACCGTACACTGATGGAATGATTCATTTATTCCAGGCAAGATTCGTTAACTATTAACGTAGAGTTGAATAGGACCAAATAAATATTCGTTAATAGTTAACGAATGGTTCACTTGACCGGGGAAAGTCGAGTCAAACAAGGCTTCTCAAATATGCATTTGTTAACTGTTAACGAATGAACGTTTGGTGAGACCGAAGAGATCCTTGCCTTCAACCAAATCCATTCATTAATAATAGCTAATCCTCTTTATCAGTGTATCGGCTTCAAACAAGTGCTGCATCTTATTCTAGCCTGATTTGAGTTTCCACTCGGGCATTTGTACTTGAAGCCAAAAAACTATTTGGACTTGTTTAGAAATTCAGCTAGGCTGCACAAGACGCTTTATTTGAGCGTCATTAACACTTTTATTTTGACTGTAAAATATGCCTTTTTGAAATCTAGCTCCCAGATTTGATGAAGACAAAAAACCACCAGTAAAATGTACACTTAGCAAAATATAATTTACGTTTAGGTTTTTGCTGTGTGAATGATCGCTAGAATCATAAAGTTAATATCTTAAATAAAGTAATCATAAAGTTAATATATGATCGTACCTCGATAATTAATTCAATTTTGAGTACATCTTCTACATATTAATTATTTGGCTGAATAACTTTCAAATTTTTTTCTTTAAATAAAGAGACATGCGCACGACATTCCCTTGCCGATGTCAGTCTTTATGATGAAAAATTTCAATGCCAAATTTTATTAGTTTCTTTATGGCATACGGTTTTACGTACAAAGTATCAGAGATTTTTCCACTTGATATCTCCAAAGTTCCTCGAAATCTTCACAACTTATGAAAATATGTTTTATTGTTTTAAAATTTGAGTTAATACACACTTCCCACACTTCTCTAATTGCAAACTCAACTAAACATACAAATTCACAACATCCGACTGTACAATAAATGGCAAACTCTCTTGAAATTTCTGTCTTCCCTGATAACAGGCCGGCTAACAGTCGAGAATCGCCAACTTTCTCCTCCTCCCCTGCGTCTTCTTGTTCGCAACCACTCGACAGTGCCCACTTCCTTCTCATTTCCAGCTGCAAGTAACCCAGCCCTGTGTTGGCTGTTGCCCCGGCCATTGGGATGTGTTATTAAAATAGTTACACGGCAGCATCATGCGACCTTCATACTCCGCAATTTACTGGTCAACTAATTATTTCAGGTAATCGCCCTTGTGGGGTTAATAAATGATTTACGACCTCGTCTTGGACACCGGTCAATAAACCCTATGGGGTTTGCGAGAGGGGGGGGGGTGAATAGTCCAGTGAATTATGAATACACGGATATTAAAGGCATTGGGGGCATGACCTGATTAATAATTACTAGCGATTATTTCGATATTTTTGGACGATTTTATTGGGGAAAATGTCAGGAATTAACTCGGTTGAATTAATTATTCCCAGTGAGATTGAAATGTGGAACGGGGGGTTATGATAGTTTAGCGTACTTTGAGAATATCATTTGATGATGATTTTTTTTTCATAGAACATTGGAAATTGTTCGGATTGCAAACATTTGCATGTGAATTCAATTCAACAAACTACTGAACAATGCAACTATTGAATTTAATTTATTAACTCCTACGGAGTTAGGACAGATGAATTGTTAATTTAATTAAGAAATTTGCAATATGAATTATACATTTTAGTGGAAATTCAGCGCTTCGAGAGAATTTTTCCGATGTTTTCCCCATTCTATGAATTTTTAAATCTTGAAAATTGAAATGTAGAGAATTTATTGAGTAAATCTGTCCATTTGTTGATGAAAATTCGTATGATTAGGAGAATATATTTACCTCATAAACTTTGGAATACCAAAGAAATTGCGGGAATATTAAACCTCGTCAACTTCGGAAATATCTGATAAATACGAAATTGGATCTAAATAATATAATAAATATTGATTCATGACCGACGTTTTCCATTCGAATTTAAATGAAATAATTTCCTCCGCAGTGAAGGAATAATCAAATTGCTTCCATTCAAAATCCAACAGATAATTTTCGAATTTAATTAAGAAACACTTCTCATCTTACCCTTCGGCTCGAATAACTCTCCCTCGAAGGGGAGAAGACATATCAGAGGTAAGAAATACCCCAGTGATGAGATCGGAACTCGAGATGAGATTAATCACTCGAATGCTTTCGCTAACCGGGCTAACCTCGGCAATTAAAATAATTGAACAATACTCCCCGACCCAACCGATGGTTTATCCCTCAAATGCCAGTGGAGAGATCCACATCGTTTCGCATCCGAAATTGTCGGAATATTTTTAAACATTCATGGAGTGATTAAACCACCAGATCCCGGATAATCACTTTTCATTCGTGGATTAAGCATTTATTTGAATGTGGAGTCGTCGAAATGGAGAATGCTAATTGTATATAATGGCAGAGAGGGATTTTGAGTGGGTTTTTTCAACATTATTAGTGTCATTTAACGGTCTGATGCATTCGACGTTGAAAAAACATTTAATTGGGGATAAATTTGCGCTCAAATGGTGGATTGGGAACGATGCTCGATTGATTTTCACTCCAAATATTTTTAAAAACAAGTGAAAAATTGCCTTCCTCGCAACGTAGTCAATCCATTTGTGATAATAAATTAGCAATTTTCTGCCGAATGGATTTCAATGATTCATTGAATTCAACATTACCTCAACGTTGGCAGCCCACATTGTCCCACTCGATGTGATTAATCTCGTGATTGAACTCAATTAATCATTTTTTCAGTTATCATTGAAAAACGGGCGAGGTTTAAAAAAATTGGAAATGTCGGAATTTCATATTTTCTGCCTCGATATAAAGCGAAAAGAATCTCGTGCGCAATTCGGAATTTTCAATTTATGTGGAATCCTTTTCAAAATTTTCATCTTCTGTTCTAATCTGTTAATTTGCCATCTACGAATAATCAGGTACAAGCCTCCCAATACTGAATGAATTTATATATTTCAAGAATTCATTAACAACCCTTTCCCTGGCTTTCAAACAATCGGAAAACATTCTCTACATCACGAAGAGGGGTGGACTCGTATGCGAGAAATTAGCAATGTTGCGAAGCGTTTAAAAGATAAAAGCAAACTTTTCCTATTAATAGCCGAGGGAAAACAGTGGGATAGAAGGATGGGGGGGGGGGGTTGAAAGAGGATAAGGGAGGGTATAACATGTACACCCGAGGCTCGTCGAGAACAGTGCACGCGGACTGCTATATAATACACACACACTCCAATAAAAACTCTTGCCCTCCGGTAGTACAATCATTTTCCAAAGAAAAAAGTAACAACAAAGGGAGGAAATGTAAATGCAACAAAGTATCTCCAAAATTGCTCATGCAAACTGAAAATACTGGAGTTGTAATTATTTTTTTGCGCAGTTGGACTTGATTGAAACTTTCCAAATGGAAAATTCTATTAAAAAGTTTCCGAGCATTACTTTACTCCATCATTTGTCTAGCATTATTCAATTTTAATTATTTATTCATCCATTTTTTGTAACTTTTTCTATCTATATTAATTATTTTTCAAACTATCCCAAAGCAAGAAAAATGAAAGAAGGCTCGAAAGAAGTAGAAAAAATAGAAAAGTTGAAAAAAAATATTTCGAGCACAAAAATGGTCGAAGTAAATTGAAAATTTGTAAATTTGTAATTGCGAGGGAACAATAGATTCCCCTCCGTCTCACCTCCCACATGCCATCCCGCCATAAATACCTTAACGAGCGTGAAAGTATCTCAATTTCAGACACTCGTTTGTCCAGTGCTCCCCAAAATCAATCAAACCAGAAGAACGCCAGAAACAACAGAATACATCCCCCATAACTACCCTCCGCCCACATTAAAACAGAAGATATCCTTCGCGGGATTACCGGGAGCCCTCGTAATATCCACTCGTCCCGGCCCCCTCCCACGCCCTAGTACAACAATAAAACTCCCCGGAAACTCAGCGAGAATCGATGAATCTATCGCAATCATCGACACAACACAGTCCCCCTTGCTCTCGTCATTTCCCCGAGGGAGATTATTTTTTTAATATCTGGAAACTCTCGAGCAAGTATGCCACCGTGAAAACGTTATTACTCCGTTTGTTGATACGGCAGGCTGCCAGAAAACCAAAGTAGGATTGAATTTAATTGAAAAAAACGGGAGAAAAAATCGGGGTTATTGACTCATTTGAATATCGCAGCGTGCATTCCATCTTTAACTCCATTCTTCACGGTGACATCCCGACCCTCGTGTCATCCCCCACTTCCGCCCGGCCACCTTCGGTGGAATATCGATAATATTTTTCCAGACGAATAATTTTATATCTCAAGTCCAACTTCTGGATATATTACTCGTCGCGCCATTCGTCACTACAAAACTTTTGTGGTTTCGATGAAATAAAAAGTGGAAAATGGCTCTTGTATTGTGTATAGTTTAGCTATTTTTGGTAATAAATTAGCAAAGATAACTAAACTGATTTTCAAAAAATACAAAATTTTTATCGCTATCTTAATGTTTTTTATTGAAAGAGCAGATCAGTAGATGAGAGGTTGTGATTATTTTGAA